TGTTCGTTGCTTGTTGGAGGATCGATTTTTTGTTATATAGATTATTGTTTCAATAATAATATTTTTAAAATCGTATTACACGATTCATCTCACGTAATAATATCAATACATCATTATATTAAAGGAAAAATTATTTAGAATCGAATCTATTTGTTGATTATTGGAATTTCATTCGAGTTAATATCTCACGCTTAAGTTTTTAAAAAGGATATATCATTTATCATTAGCGATACTAATATTGAAAAAAAAAGAAAACAAAATCTCATAATTTTGAGAATTTAATATGAATGAAAATCACACTTTCCCTCTCCTCCTCGTCATCAACAACATTGGAGTAGAAAGGAATTGCATAGGCGATAGGTGTAGCTAAAGTCGAGTGACCTGCTGCCCCCAGTCCATCACCCCTTACATCCACCGTTCTCCTCGTGGCACCCTCGTGGCGTACCCTCCTCTCCGCCCCTCCCCCCTGCGGCAACGTCCCTTCCACCTCCGCCGCCCAGCTTTTTCTCGGGGGTTCATCGATCGCCCCCAATCACCCACACCTGCCATCTTGCCTCTCTCTATCCCCTTAAAACCCTGAACGCTTTCTTACCTCGACACTCGCTTCTTTCTTCTTCTTTACTGTTTTCTTTTTATCTTTCTTTCTTTCTTCCTTTCTTTCTTTTTCTTTTTCTTTTCCTCCCTTTCTTCGCGATGAAGATTTCTTTATCGAACTTCCACCACCCGCGTAACCTTCCTTCTGCCCCATTTCATATTTGAAATCGTGACGTTTATTTGAATTGATTTCACCATTATTAATGTTGGGCGAAGAAGATTGTTTTTTGTAGGAATTGGAATTTTTGAACAATCGAATAATGAGTTGTTTTGAAACAAAAGATTTATTTCTTAACTTCGAAGATTTTTTTTTTTCTATGATGAGTTTCACAATTCTTTTTCTTTTTATATTTTTTTTACTCTGAGATGTTCAACTTTTTAATTTAAATACCAAAATAATTCGTTTTTTTGTTGTGATATCTTCTGAACTTTGTTAAATCTTATTCCTTTTACACTTTACATTATTGAGAATGAAATTTTTTTATTGAAACAATTGAGAGATGCACTTCAAATATAATAATTGTTATTGGAAATTTTTTAATTAGTATTCGTTCTTTTTTTATTCCAACGTCTTCGTCCTTCACATTCTTCCAGTTCTTTGAGCAGCCAAACCTCGGTTGGCCTCTTTATCTCGTGCAAACAGTGAGGTTTCATTTCACGGCTTTGTTCTCCCTCATCCCTTATTCCATTTCCGGTATCGGTCGGGCGTGAGTCTATCTTACTTTCCATCGAAATTAGTTTTTCTCCCAGATCGTTCACACCCCATTCCTCATTCCTTTCTACGATGAGAAAAATAAACGTTTGTTTGCCTTCTTTCTTTCGTTTTCCCTCCCCCATTATAATCCCCTTAAAATCCTCTACAACCTTATGAACATTCTGAAGAACTTAATAAAAAAAAGATTAAATTACAATTTAAAGCTTCATCTTTTAATATCCAATTTAAATTTTCAATTAACAAATGAAATCCTCTTTGTTTAACACTTTTTCAAAATCCATTACAAATTATCGTATATTCTACTTTAAAAATTATTCCATTCCTTTTCCAAATATTACTGTATATTTCCACATTACTGTATATATATATATATATATATATATATATATATATTATCAAAGTTGTAAATTTACATGAACGTTTGCAATCAATTAATATTTCCATCAGAAAAAAATTAGCGAGGGAGCACATTCCATTCGCCGTTTCCAAACGAAGAAATATAACATCCATCATCTATTATTATTCCAGCAATCCCTGTCCGCCATTTGTTTCGCGGGCGCCGCCAAAATTACGATCGATGGGCTTAGAAGCCGACCGATCCCGAGGGGTCACGGGGATAATATCGATGAGCCGAATATTAATGTCTGTTCGTCGGTGACGGCAATTGGTGCTAATTAGCGGCACGCATCTTCCTCAATTGAGGCTCGTTTCGACCGCCACCCTTCAGCCATCGCGCTTTCGACACGATGTTCGGCCTATGCGAGCGTTCGGTAAGGTCACGGTCATCCCGACTAGCCTTAGAAACTTCAACAGCGGAACACACAAAGTAGACCTCGTTCCCTATTCTTCTTTATTTCAATTTCTATCCTCTTCTTCTGTATATTTTTTCTATCTTTTAAACGATATTCAACGGAAATTAATTTTCCAAAATGTAAACTTTATCGTCTTTTTTCTGTTCAGTAATAAGGATATATATATTTTCTTTATTTTCGTTCTTTTTCTCGTTTGTGTTATTTCTGGGATGATTCAAATCTTTGTAGGCAAATTGTATCGTTGACGTGAGTGATATTTCATTCTTCCTTCATTTTTTGTTCATAATGGAGAGATTGTAAAGTTTTTCGTTTTGTTATGTTATAATTCTTTGTTGAAGTGAATGTAAAAATCTAAATTGGATTGCCTAAATGTTTAAGTTTATTTTCTTCGATAATAGAAGGTTTATAGATTCTTTATTTTAATATTTTTTTTTATTAAATTTTCACTTTTGCAAAGAGCATCAAACGTTTAACGATTGCATAACATGTTGAACCATCGATAAATTTTCGAATATCAAATGTTTAAAAAATATTTTTCGTCAAATTATACTTATAAATCTACATACATCTCAACTTGACATTTTCGTGTGATGGATTTTTATCGCATTTATATGTTCAATGCGATCGATGCATTATGCATGTCACGCATAAGAGTTCGATTTTGAAAGGTGTGCAAGTATCGGAATTGTGGTCGCATAAAATGATGAGAAACGGAAACGCCACGTTACCGTGATAACTTTTTACATATATGCATACAACATTTATACCAGCTATTAGCGTACCCACATGTTACGGAAAGAGGTGGTGAATTTACATGTATGGAACAATAAATATACTATATCTCTTAGTTATCCCTTCCCTTCAAAGTATCGTAGATATGCAATGTGCGAACAATTTTCAATACATCATAGTTACTTTGTAATTATTTACATTATATTCTAGAATATGGTTATTGATGCTAATTTCATTGGACTTTTGATTGGACTTTCATTGAATTTTGATTAACAACAAGTTTTATTATATTCTTATCTATTTAAATGTTATTGGTTTTGAGGATCATTTACCTCTTCCATCCATATTTATGTTTTATTAAATAAGAAAACTTCATTTGTAATTAATGATCATTTTTATTATGTGTGAATTATACAATTCTAATTATACAATTAGAAGAATTATCATTAATTATAATAAAATTAATTATAAATCTGACAATTGAATGTAAAATATTTATAAATATAAGGCTTTAAATAATACAGGAAATCATAAATTTATATTATATAAATTTCAATTATAATTACTAATTGTTTTCCAAAGAATTTTGATAGAAATTCTATTTTAATGAGCAATTCGTATTCCTATTAAAATATAATATAACATTCCTTAACATTTTTTTATCATTTTAGATCTTAAATTAAAGATTTTTCTATTTTTAAATATTTAATTACAAATTTTTACAATATTAATCAATAAATTTCCCTAGTTTCAAAATTATAAAAAAAAATAATAAATATTTCTTAATTTCTTGAATCCTAAATATGAAATTATATTCGTATATTTCCTTATTCAAAATATTTCAAATTCTAAGTTTTAAATTAATGAATGATCTTAAATTTCGAATTCTGAATTAAAGATTTTTTTAATTTTTAGTTCCAAAAATTTCTCAAATCCTCAAATTTATATATTTTCGAATTACAGATTTCTCAAATAGACATTAGATTTTTTTTTTTTGAATCTTAAATCAAAATTTTGCATGATATATTTCAGTTATCACGTCATTTAATATTTCCGGTCACGATATTCAGTGGAATAATATAACATATACGGCTCGTTTGACACGCTGCGACGAATATGACGCACGCAATTTTCTAGGTCGTCACGACGCAGCAGGGAAGGTCAGGATTGGTTCAAGTCCAAGCGAGTCGTCGCGGCCGTCAACGTTGATGGTAACGCGTTCGCCTTGTTGCTAGTTGAACTATAATTAGCGAATTTTGACACGGAATTTCTTCAGTTCGCTGGAAACAGACCAAAGAAACATGCCTCTTCGATTTATCGCCATTGCCATTTCTCCTTAAATAGATATTGCTATAAGTGATAATATATGATGAAGATGTGAATCTTTCGTTAAAAGATATAAACCTTCTATGAGGTCGTTGCCAAGTTTAATAATCTGATGATCTAATAATTCCCATAAATGAATTTGATGTATATCTATATCTTATCCAAAATATGGACAAGACATAAATAACATAAAATTGTTATCATTTATTTCATCGTATTACACATTACCAATCATAAGTCATAAACATTAAATTATACATTTTTTTCAAAATAAATATAATAAATTTGCTTCAAAAAGCATTTAGGGTTTTATAAAATGCTTAAAAAAACGAAATAATGGAATAAATGTAAATATTTTGTAAGATAAAAAATATTTCTACGTATATTTATTTTGATATTAAATTGTTAGATAGAATATGTATTACGTTTTGTAAAAAAATAAAAAGAATTTAAAAAAAAATAAATTTTAATTAAATATAATGTAATGTGTAACAGTATCATCGATAGTTTCAAAGATATTGCAGGGAATCGTAGATCTTCTTTGATTTATGTCTATTGCTCGGCTTATAATGATTCTATCCCACCGATTATTCAACCATTCGAATATTATCCGACAGTTATACCACCTAGAATATCATGTAGATCCGATTTATCATAACAGATTTCGTTTTCTATTATAAATTTCATGTTATCTTGAGAATCCTTTAAACCTAAAATATTGTAAATAATTCAAATTGATTATTGACAATATTGATTAAAATTATAGTAGAAATAATTATTAATAATATAATTATCAATAATACTCATCTTATATACATAAATTAAGTCGTTGACGATCTGTGAATAATTTTATCTTCAAATGTTTGTCTACGGCAGATTAATAATCATTAGTACCAGAATTTTGAAATGGAAAAAAATCTAATACAATATTTATCAGTATTACCATGTGCGTTGACGTGTATACTCATACTCGAGAGCTTCACCCTTGACACCCCTTCTTCTTGCACTCAGCAGCCCACGCTCGCGATGAAGCTCCGCAGGTGGCCGGACTTTAAAACGCTTTGATGAATCTCAAATTTTCGCGAAATCATATGCTTTGATCTTGTGATATCTTTTGATAATCTTCGTAGATCGTTTTAGAAACTGTTGCTGAAATCTAATTACATCAAACATTAGATTGTTTAAAATAAACTGTTTTTAAGGAAGATTTAATGCATTTTTTTTACCTTTGATAATTATATTCATTCCATGAAAAGATAAATTAATATATAAAGTCTTGAAACATTTATAATAAATTTTGATTTTGCAATTTGTATTTATACACAAATGATAAATACTTATTTTCGATATTTGATTATATTTCTAAACTCGAAAGAAAGAGATAAAAGTGGAAGTGTTTGCGAAGAAGAACAAGTTATTCTAATTAACTATGTTTAAAAATAATCTCTCAAAATTGAAGAACAATTCAAAAGTTGCATCGAATTTTCTTTCTTTTGAATTTTTTAATTTCAAATAAATATTTCAAATAATAAAACTTGAAGGATTAGCTCTAAGCCATAATAAAAATTCAATTTCTTGCATTTTAGGTTAGGTTAGAATTCGCTTTTTTTAAGGAAACGAAAAGAATGAGATTCTGATACAAATTTTATGATGCAATCTCGACAACTATATTTTTATGTATTTAACTTTATTTCGATGCTTGTTTATATATAAGTTATGATAATATTATCATACCGGAAGTCTTCGCAAACAACAACACATAATGTTTTTACGCGAAAAACGTTGCACCGTAATATTCGACTTCTGGCACGGTTGTTTAGTATCGAACATTGAAAAAATTCTAGCATTGCTTCAGCCTACGTGGTTTCCAGCTAGGCTAATAAAATATAAATATATAGGCCTGGCCACCCTGTGACATTCTTTGAAATATATTTTTGAGAATTTGTTATTTTCTAGTTCTAGTATTGATATCGTGTATATGAAAAGAAGATACCATAAAATGAAAAAATCCTCTTGTGAATAAGAATCATAAGAATCAAACTAAATATTATGTAATTACATTATTAAAATTTTAAAAATAAAAGATAAAATATTCGAAAGAAAATTAAGATAAGATTTGAATCTCGATTATCTGACAGGTAAGACGAGTGTCATTTTTATATTATAGTTTGTTGAGTTTCAATCATTAAATATTATCGTCTATTAAATTTCAATATAAATTATTATAAAAAAGAAACCTATTATTAAACCTACTAAACAAAAGAAACTTTTCAATTTATTTTTATTCTTATTTCTTACTTTTGTCAAAAATATTTTCTAATTAATCAAAGAAATTATAACATAAATTTTGATATCTTCGTTTTTGTATAAAATACTAATAATGAATATAAAATAACGAGATCGAAAAAATATGAAAAAATTATACTTCTATTTTCTTTTTTGTTTGCTTATCATGTTTAATACAATTTGAGAAAAAAAAAATAGAAGAAAGTAATATAGATTAGAATGATGCGAAAATAAAGTCTAGCTGATACGTTTAAAATATTATTGATTTGAAGTATTTAATCAATAAAAAAAATAAAATATAAAAATAATCAAAGAGAATAGATAAAAATTTCAACTACAAATCAATATCACTTAATTAATTTTGTTGAATAATTATATGATGCTTTGAGTTAATTAATTATTTCTTTCATTAATAATTCTTTTGTAAAAAATTTAAAATATTTTTCTTTATCAATTGATATAATTATCAATTGAATTATAATTTTTAAAGAATATTAAAAAATATTAAAATTCTAAATTTTAATTCGTAGAAATTAAATCATCATTTCTTGGCTGCAATATTCTTGAATCTGCAATAACTAGCAGACGAGAACGTAAAGTAAAACGAACAACTTACTTTCTTCATATTCCATATTCTTGTAACGAATTTTCAATTGCCATTAGAAGAAAAGCAGGAAATCGAAGAATGTATTTCGAGGTTATGTTCACTGCGTAACATTTGCAACGAACACTGCGACATAGAGGACGATCGAAGGATCTCGAGACTTACGTAAAACCCTTCGCGCTCGATCGAATTTCCTGACCACCCGGCGACAGTCTATACGACCATGTACGCCTATTACGTCGCCTTTACGATCTCCTCGTAAACGTCCAGACCCGCGAAATTGATAGACCACTACGTTACACGAACGAACACATCTGTACATACGATAGTCCCATCGTGGCAGCACGTACGATGTCTTCTTTCAACTCGCTAGATCGTTCCTCTACCGTATTCTCGATTTCTATCGTAAAAGATCGATAATCGATAGGACAATCGATTTTTCAAATAGATCTGAAACGAGTCGCATAAAGACATTCGAACAAAATGGCGTTTTGTGTCGTAACGAAAATTATCTTGTCCATCTATACAACGAAACGATAGAAAAAGAATATTTCATAGTTCGAGGTTATTTGTTTCCTGTTTCAAGTCGAATTATATAAAAAAAGAGGTTAGTATAAAATAATAAACTTTTATTTTAGAAAATTATTGATACAGGAAATATCGTATCAATTTTTCGTTAATTTGCTATTTTAAATAAATTTCGTTTTGGAATATCAAAAATTATTAGTTTTTTTGCATCTTTCTATAGATATTGTATATCAAAATAAGAAATTTTTTCATATATATGAAAGATTATCGAATGATCTTCAAATCTTTTGTATTAAAATAGAGGTTAAGTAGAGAGAGTAGAATAGTAAAAGCAATTTTCATTTGAGAAGATTTTGATACTTACATTAATATAAAATATTCTGACAATTCTATATTATTCCATCACTTTTGTCATGCAATGAGAATTTAGTATGTCAAGTAGGAAAAATCGTGCCAGAATATATTACAGATGTATATAGATTACATAGTTCCATTCTACGTTATATAATAAATGATATTGATCAATCTTTGGATTGTGTGTGTCAAAGGAAATATTAGGATAAACAAGTAAAAAAAGAAATTTCACTTTCAAGAAGAAAGATTCTCACAATTTACACAAAATATTCTGTCAGTTCCTCGTTAATCCGTCGCATTTATCGCGTAAATGAGAATTTTGTTTTGCCAAGGGAAAAGAACTGTGTCACCGGTGACAGCATCGTACATCCATGTTACAATGAAGCTTTCGAAAATGAGACAACACGAAAGTCAAGCGTCGTAAAAAGCACGTAATAGTTTCAACCGGCCAATTCTGTAAGCGACTGATGACTTTACGAGCGAGACGCGACTCCAGACGCCGACCAGACGCGAATGGTTCAGCGCGAGTAAATCTAACCTCGCCTACGCTTGCTAAAACGGCGCCGGTGTCACAACGCGTAAAAATTATTTGCTACTAGTAGACAGCTACTGTTTTAAAAATATAACGTCTAACTAACTGTTCTCGATATGGATCACCTAGGATTTTTTACGGCACTCTGTGGATATGCAAACTGCTTTTACGATATGAAGTTTCTAACCATGCCAATAATGCTTTCATAGTTTTTTTAATTTTTTAATTTGATTTTTTAATTATTCCATTTTAATTAAACAATCATTTTAATTAAGGTAAAATACAAAATTATAATAATAATATAATAAATATTTTAAAATCAAATTAAAATAAGTTAGGTTAGAATAGAAAGAAAGATGATTCGTGATGATATATATATATATATATATAATAGAGAGATTATACATTACTATAAACATTGTATTAATTAATCAAATTTAAATTTAAAATTCAAAAAAAAAAAAAAACAAAAGAAATGTTAAATTTAAATTTCAAATTAAATATAATAATTCAAATTATATATTAATATCACAATATTATATAAATTTCAGTTCACTATCGGTGATGATATAAAGTCACTTGATGTTTTAATCGTTTCGATAATGATTATTGAATAACACGTCGTTACTTCGTACGCGCGAAATTTAAATTTGCCAGACGTTCGTAGTAAAAAAAAAAGTCAGAAGAGATGACGGAGAAGCGAATGAAGTGGCAGACGACGCGGACGACAAGAAGGGAATTGTAAAGTCGTCATAATTGATTGCATCTTTCGCAAGTAGAGAGGCGAAGCTCGAAGAGGAGGCTGAAAGGAAGAAGACAGTGGAAGAGGACGAGTGGCTCTCTAGCTGATACAAGAGCCGTTGACATTACCGCGTTGCTCCTCGTCGCGAAACCACGCGCCACCCACCGAGCACCGTGATTTTTATTTCGGCTGGCAATAAACAGATCCATCGTGACTTTTTTTCTCTCTTTCTTTCTCTTCTCGCTTTATGATCTTTCTCCTCTTTATTCTTTTTTTTCTCATTTTCTTCTTTTATGACGATCGTTCTTCGACAACAGAGGACATTATCAATAGTGAAAGATGTATTATTTATAATAATTATAATTTCAGAGAGGTAGTTTATTATTCAATTATTCCACGAGTAAAGTGTTTCTTTCGTTTGAATTATATAACTTGTTTCAAATTTAATATTAACGAGTTAATGAATGAAAATAAATTATCTGTATAATTTTTTCTCTTTTAATCAATTCAATTGAAAAATGAAAATGCAATGATTTATTTATAACAGAATATTGATTTTTTCTAATCTACTCTTTGTTATTTATTTAATGAGTTTAATAGAAAGAAATTGACACGTTTTAATAAAAAGATTTTCATTACGTATTATTTATTTCAAATAGTAAACTTTTATAAATAATAACTTTTATAAACTTTTTGAAATCATTATTTCAATAGGTGACAAAACTTTAACTTAAAGTTTCATCGAATATTTTTCTAATATATTTTATTGTATCAATTTTCATTTAAACGTACAGATAACAATGCCCGTCGAGACGAAACGCAATCGATGCCAGGCCACTGTTTTTCTCCTGTCTTTAAACGTGTGAATGTCTTCGCCATATCGCATCAAGGACGGATTGTCTCTTTCATAGTGTTTTCGTGAGACGAATTTCTGGAACGTTGTCTCTTTACAACCGTGTGAAAAGATCGAAACGGAAATAAAATCCTTCTCACTCCTAAAATCGATTTTACTACCGTCCATATTGGAAATTCCTTACACGGAGAACAATGAAAATCCTCAAATATTATTCAAAAAGGTAATATATTAAAATGTTTATTATTCGAATATATTTATTATTTGAAAATTTGCTATTTCTTTTTGATATTTTATTTTATCATTGATACATTTTATTATATAAATCTTCCACTATTCAAACATTGTGTACATTAGATTAAAATTAATTTTTGTTGAACTCATTTAGGTTATGTTAAAAAACCACTTATAAATATTGATCCTTCTTCTAAATAATCATAAAGCATCCAAAATTTTCCACTTATATTCGAATCTATTTGCAATATATTAGATCTCATCTATATTTTATCTATCTTCAAAGGACGAAAGTTCGTATTATAAGTCCTCTATCTCGCCAAACAGCCATAATAAAAGAAATCTCTCCAACTTTTGGTCACATCGATAACCTTGAAATTCATACTGTTTTTCCTTATTACGAACAACTAAAGAAGTTCGTCAGAAGTTGTTGTGATTTCTTTTAAGAAGCCCTTCGGAGAAATGGCGGGTGATTGATGTCAAACACACACAGATCACCCTGGGGGATCGACGATCCCGTTTCACCAACGACCTCGACTCATCAAGGACAATCCTTATCGGAGCTAATAGACACGAAGGATTTTCAAGCGAACCTACAGAAAAACAAAATCTAACGATGAATCGGGAGTATCCTCGAGCAAATGGGAGCACCCTCGTCAACTACAATTTTCCATCGAGTTCTTCTTACTGTCAAGGTCGAGGCAGATTGTCACAGCGAGGAGGGCACGATGATTATCGCGTATTACGAATCTGTCCACTATGGATCTGTCGACTACTGAGAAAATCTTCTCGAAGGGATGCCAGATTATCGCGATTGTTGCTCGAATTACTTCTGTTGAGCAAGAAGTTTGTCTGGTTGAATAATAATGGCTGCCAATGTTTCAATAACATTTCAAATATTATATTCGTGATATGATATGGACGATTGGATGTTTATCTTTGATCATTTTGTCGTAATTTCGAATACGTTTCGTAGAAATGTTGAAATGTTTTTCGACTATTCTTAATGTTTCTTATAGCATTTAGAAATATTTTATTTTTATTATACAAAGTTCTAATTCCAAATTATATTTCTATTATGAAATATAATTTACTGGAATGGAGACTACAATAACGTTTGCAAAAATATTATCATAATGTATGTTTACAAATCAGGACATTTAATTTAAGATAAATGAATATTATAGTTATAAAATGAAATTAAAACTTATTAACGATGTAATAACTTATATATGTACTTGTATAATATAAACACGACAGTATCTTTTTAAATTACATAACGTAGAAAGCATACATTTTTATAGTATTTTTGTTTCTTGTTTGCTTAACGTTAGGAATTACTAGAGAAGTTCGTAACCTAAGTTTAACCTTAAAATTTACTAGACTCGTCCTACGAAGTCAAAAATAATGGAGAAAAAGATGATAAATAAAATGGAGAGAGGCTGTGAGGAAGGAAAATGGCCGGTAGACGAATTATGGCCGAACGAAAGCGAATGCAATTAAGGGATGCCGTGGAAATGGGAAATAATGAATTCAAGCCCCGTTTCTGCCCGTGTGCTCCCGGGGGATTACCGTGTGGCCGTACGATTCAAGGGGTAGGAAGGAAGGTGAAGATTATTCCGGCCTGCAAAGGGAATCTGGAAGCTATGACCTACTTCAATTTGCCTTCTCCACATTCGTAGGCACTCCACGTTCTTGACTTTCGTCGTAGTTGTCGTGCTTGTCGTTCGCCTTGTTGCTCTGCTCTGCTCTGCTCCCTTCCCCTCCCCTCCCCTCCCCTCCCCCTTTCCCCTCGCCCCGGCCTTTTGCCACTAGGCAGTCGGGAAAAGAGAAAGAGAAGAAGAGTGGCGGTGGAATCGAATAATAAATTCGAGGGAACATTATTTTTGGCTCCCTGTTTCCTCGCCCGGCCGAACTCTCTTTTCACCGATTGTTGCTTTTAGGCTGGAGGGCTTGTTATATATGCGTTCGATAAATTGAACGCGATTCCCCCGTCCTTGTCGATGTTTTCGGTCTACTTTAAACTGTTTTCCTCGAGCAGTCTTATGGGGGATTGTTCCGCGGGGTTCCTTAAAATAACCGAATTTATCTTG